TAAACACCTTTATTAGTTAAACACACGAACATTCTGTTTGCACCAACTAGAAAAAAGTTCATGCCATTAATATTCAAAACTTCACTAGCCAGTTTCTTGGTTTTACACAACGTGACCAAGCCTAACTATCATACAATCAAATTCATCATAGCTCCCGCAAGGACGTTGTCCAACCTACGATACATTGTTATGAAATTAATACATTCACAACTAACAAAATCTCGTTTAAATACTTATAAACACCAAAAAATAAATTAATTCCATTACGATTCAAAGACTGCCTTTAACGCAAAAACTTATAAACGGCTTCAGTATATTATTTGTTCAAATTAAAAAGACTGACTTTTTGTCTCTCTTTATGTATGTATGTATGTGTAAGCTTGTGGATTAATTACTAAACATGCTTATACATGTTCCATATATATATATATATATATATAGTTACTCGTGAGGAACCCAAATTTCCACTTTGAATCCAGTGGGCTTAAAATATTTGATTAATTATTTGCACGAACGAAATAGTTTCTATTTCCAGACCCAAATTGTTACAAAAATATAAAACAAAGAATTTTAAAAGATCAGTGCTCGCTTTCTTTAATTTCAAATTACTAATATACTTTACCGGTAATTAATATGCCATCAAATGTTTGTATTAATAAACAACTTAAAAGGCCCTTAGTAACGTTTTGTATGGAGTTATGCATAATAACCTATCAGAAGCAGTGACGTAAGTATGCCAAAAGGACCTGAGAAACTTAATAATTGCCAACAAGAAGAATACACGTGGGGGGTGGACATCTTTTGTAGTTGCGCCACTGACTAGAAGACTTATTTTTCTTTGTTTATTAACTACATAATATCAATAGAATTCACTATTTTCCCATAGTTAATAAAACACCTACACCATAAACCACTTCAATATGTATCACTGGAAGGCATTTGCTGTGCTTTACTTAATAAATAAAATTACACGATCCATCCCTAGAAGGCGTTTCCTGTGCCCTACTTAATAAATAAAACTATATGATACACCACTAGAAGGCATTTCCTGTGCCCTACTTAATAAGAAAAACTATATGATACACCACTAGAAGGCATTTCCTGTGCCCTACTTAATAAGAAAAACTATATGATACACCACTAGAAGGCGCTTCCTGTGCCCTACTTAATAAGAAAAACTATATGATACACCACTAGGAGGCGCTTCCTGTGCTCTACTTAAAAAGAAAAGCTACAAAACACACCACTAGAAGGAATATCCTTTCCCTATTTTATTTGATTACCAGTCAACTGAACCAATACATCGATAAACCTCTCAATCGTAAATAATATGGTTTTCCAACTACATAAGATACCTTTGAACTATTGAAATAGTTTAAATGGCAACTCACAGAGTTTGGTCAACGTTAGAAAAAAAACAATGTTGAGCAAACATTTACTGATACCACAAAATTCTTGTTTGTTTTAGGATATTCGCACAAATATACTCAAGATCTTTTTCTTGCGCTAGCCATCCTTAATTCTGAACTGATAAACTGGAGGGTAAGAAGACAGTCAACGGCATTAATCACCAACTCTTGTCTCACTTATTTGTGAAATCTGACCACCACTCTTTCACAATTTCAAAGTGCAGAGCGTTTTTTTTTTTGTAGTAACAGGATTTCAGATCCACAGTCCGGCATCCTAACCACTGGGTCACACTCGATCCCTCACAAAGCACTTCTACAACTGTAGTATGCATACACAAAAAGACCTATATTCGAAAAAAAAAAGTCTAAAATTTACAAATAATGGCATCTTAAAGCAACATACAATATAAACTACCGACGTGTAAAATATATATGTATATATATAGTAATTTATAAAAACGTTTCTTAATATTTCATGCTTCTCTTGTAAAAACTTTTTATTTTTTTATTATTTACTTTGCTAGAGACGTCCCCCCGGGTGAGTCAGCGGTAAATTTACGGAGTTACGACACTTTTAATCCGGGGGTTCGATCCCCGCGATGTTAAGAGCGCAGATGGCACTAAACAAACATCAATCACACCGCCAGTTGTTAGAGCCATCAACTCGTTGAAAACTAGGCGCATTTTCTTCATCACCCATCAATATATTAGCCATTAGTTTCTTAGTAAAATAACCATAAGTATTCGTATGACAGTATTATCTCTAAGTTGTTGTATTTTTTAGCGCAAAGCTACACAATGGACTCTTTTTCACTCTGTCCTCCATGAGGATTTGAACCCTGGATTTTTGCGCTACAAGTCCGTAAACTTATCACTAACCCGCATTATCTTTAGGTTGCTTAAAACCCTATATTAACCACAAGAAAATAACTAGATATAAAACATGAAAAACAAAACAAAATAATATTTCAAAATGATGTCTGATTATACTCGTCACGGGACACCACCCAACGGTATAACATGACATTACTGGTTAAGTGATCTTTTCAGCTAGAAAGTAAACGAAGCCATGTCGAGACAAGACATTTTAACGTTAAGCATCAAGAATAAAACATTAACTCTTTTTTGTTTTATTCTTCTTCTTGAAACTGTCAATTAGAAGTCATAAAATATGAATACTTTTGTCAAAGTCGTAAAACTGTATCCATATTAGAAATTAATTAAACACTATTACAAGCATTAACCCTCGAATTACAGACTAATATGGTTCTCATATTGCATAATAAAAAAACGTCAGACCTTGAAATTGGCGCTACTTGCCACTCCCCTAAAACTAGTGTATATATATGCTTTGACAGACCCGATTTGTACACGCTAATAAACTCAAATCACCCTGTTATACTACACATTAGGTTTCTGATAGTAGGCAGATAAACCTATAATACAGCGTAATTTTCCTTTGTATTCAATTTAATTAGCCATAAAGAAAAACTTTTGGTTATAAAAAAAAATACATCCACACTCCTTCTACGTAACCATTTAGTAATGTCGTCAATCTTAAACTGTTACCACTGTTTCAAACAGCTGCCACCGTTTCGGTTATAACCTTTATCAAATTTTTTGCCATTGTTTTGAGAATAATGTATATTAACTTTTTTGTCATCGTTTTGAGGATCATCAATCTTATCGTTTCCATCTTTCTCTGGTATCATCAATCTTGAATTTTTATCCCAGCGTGACTATCTTCCTGTTGCTTTTAATTAGGAAGTTGCCTAATTAAATGTTGTTGGTTTATTCATTAATTTTTAACTTCACCAATAACATTCTTGTTGTATAAACCTGTACCCACTTCTATTTAACCTCTCTACAGAGATGCGCTTCTATTAGGGAATTGTAATTTTCAACCTGAATATATTAGATCAAACAAAGACCCCTAGGGTACACATGTAGTCATCTCTAATTTTGAACTACTAACCAGAGGAAATGCAGCCAGACGGCAGTACCCACAGCTACAAGGTTTTTCCTGGTTCCTAGAACGTAATTGCCTGTTACTTTTATACCGCACACACAACTCAAAGTGTGGAACGTGCTCGGCAGCATCAAACTTTGAATCCTGGACCCTTCAATCAACAGTCCGACATGCGTACCACTAGTCCACACTTGTAGTAAGAGTTATAACCTACTCGTTTATTGATATTTTTTATACGATACTTATTTTAAGTTAACTTTTCAATAGATGTATTCTTCTAATAAGAGTAAAGGTGTAACCTTCAAATAAAGATTTTTCATATGATACTTTTAACTCTCCCGAGATATGTACTTCTAGTCAGTTTATTGTTTATTTGTAATTAAGCACAAAGCTACACAATGGACTATCTGTGCTCTGCCAACCACGGGTATTGAAACCCGGATTCTAGTGTTGTAAGTCCGCAGACATACCGTTGTGCCACTGGGGGGCTTTTTGAAAGAGAAAAAAGGAATGTGTTTGTGTGTGTGTATGTATATATATATATATATATATATATATATTTATTTTTATTTATTTTAGTAAAACAACAAATTTAATTTCTACT